TTAGTAAAAGAGACACCGGTGTCGTTTGATCCCTCCTCTATATATATATATATATATATATATATATAATTTGCTTTCCTTTTGTGTTTCATTTTCTTTTTATGCTTTTTTCGTTTATCAGTTGTTGTCATACATGTGTTTGTTACCTTTTTATTTAATTTGGATTTTATACGATGTAAGTTTTAATTAGAGATTCAACGAATCATATTAATATTTAAGATTTTAACAAATTATATTACTATTAAACATCCGATGAATAACGATATATTTTAAGAAATAACTTATTTAAGATATTATATAATAAGTTTTCATGTAATAAGATCAATGAATAATGATATGTTTTAAGAAATAACTTCTTTAAGATCTTATATAATAAGTTTTTATATGTAAGATCTTATAATATTATAAGTGTTTAAAATTTAATAAACTTTTGTATTTGAATATGTTAAAAAGTAATTATATAATTTTAAGTGTTGGATGTATAATTATTTAAATACTTATAGGATGTTATTTCATTTTAAAAATAAAGAAAAATTATTATAATTAAATTTTGATTGAAAGTAAAATAAAAATATAATTAAAAAGTAACTAAATAACTTTCAAAAAAATAATTAGAAAATTACCACGTATAAGAAAGAAATAAAACTAATTAAATTTTGATTGAAAGTAAAATAAAAATATAAAAAGTAACTAAATAAAATTAAAAAATAATACATATAAGCATCACACATAAGTACTTTAAAAAGTGTAAAAAAAAATGTAATTAGAAATGAAGGTAAAATTTAGAAAAATAAGAAAATTTATGCGCGACAAAATTTTAAATTGCCTTTTCACTTGTTGATAAAAAGTTTTCTTTGTTGATACATTATTCAAAAAAATAAAAATAAAAATAAAAATAAAAATTTAATATTTTTATAAATACTAGAGAGATTTTATTATGATTTGAATTATAAATTTTATAATATTTTGATTTAATATTGACCGAATAAAGTTGTCATGAATTAGGTTTACGAGTTTTTTCCACTTTTGGACTCCTAAACCCATTATTAGAAACGAAGCCCAACCCATTTACTTCCCTCTGAATTTAAGCATTTCATTTAGGTATTTCATTCTTCCCTCCGAAATTTAACAACACAGCTTTCCACTCCTTGCCCTAGCACACATTCCAGACTCCCACGCCGGCCACGACACCTCCTTCCCTGTTAGGTATTTCATTCTTCCCCACTTTCTGGTTCTATTAGGTATTTTACTTTCATTCTTCGCCGGCCATGACACCTCCTAGTTATGCATTTCGCTTATGAATTTGGAAATTCTATTTATTTCGTTTTACACGAGGATTGTTGGTGTTGTTGTTTACTAGGAATTGAAATTAGCGAACGGCTAGGTTTTGGTGCATGAATAATTGAATGTGTAAAGCTTTTAGGTTATGCCTCTTTCGAAGCTGTTTTTGGTGCCTTGAGTTCGAAATAAGTCTTTTAGGTTACTCGCGCATTTGTTAAGGGACCAAACTTTTGGACCAAAGGCTGTGACAATGTGCACCAGTGAAATATCGGAATTGGTGAAACTGATTGATGAGAACAAGATGGTTGAGAATCATGTGGTGGAAAAATTGGTGGAGGGTGATGAAGGGAAAGAGGATTTTATAGTT